AGGAGAAATCCCCCCGAGCCCCGCACGGGCGCTCCTGCTCCTGCCGGAACCGGGGATTTTTCGGGGGTCTGAGGCCACGCTGGGTGCTGCGCCCCGCCTTTATCCCTTAATTTAGGGTGAGTTTGGGAACTTCGAAAGCTAAGTTTTGGGATTTGCCGTCCCTTCCCAGCGCCGGGCAGGCTCGGGGCCCTGGGAATGTCGCGGAGCTGTGGCAGCACCGGATCCAGGCACCTGTGAGCGCCCCCGGGCACGGCCGGGGCTCCCGGACTCGCCCGTTCCCGGCGCTTCTCGCCCCAAAATCAAAGTGCCGGCATGGGAGGGAGTTCCTTAGCCCTGCGCCGCTCCCGTTGCTTTGATCGCTACTCTGGGGGGAAAGCAGGTGATTTTGGTTCTTCCCAGGTGCGTTCCGAGGGGGTTGTGCCCCAAGGGCTATCTCACCCCTGCCCAAGGCGCAGGGAAAATGGGCTCAGCCACAGGAAGGGCAAAGTTAACCTATTTTTGGGGGCCAATGAATGTATTTTACAGTTTCCTGCCCCAATAACCCAAATTTTTCTACTAGCCCGCGACAAACGATGATTTTTAAGGATGGGGGGGCACCTCGCAAAGGGGCGAGCGGCATCCAGGTGGCACTTACCGACCGGCGGTGACACCATCCACATGGCAGCGGCGGCTGTGGCAGCAGTGACAGTGACGCCCCGGCGAGGGGAAACTGAGGCAGGGGCCGCTCAGTGGGGCTCCGTGCAGTGCCGCGTTATATAAGGAAAAGCCTCTCGGGCTGAGTCACCCGGCGGGGGTGGGTCCGGCCAGAGGCCACGGACACGGACACGGGGGGTTCGCAGCCGCTTGGCACCACCGGCGAGGGAGGAGCTGCCCTGGGGGGCCGGGGGGCCATGCCAGGCTCGCAGTGCCCCTGCCAGCCTCCCAGCGCCCCTGCCAGGCTCCCAGTGCCCACGCCAGGCTCACAGCACCGGTGCCAGGCTTGCAGTGCTTGTGCCAACCCTGCAGTGCCGGTGCCAGGCTCGCAGCACCCGTGCCCAGCCACAGCGCTGGTGCCAGGCTCGCAGCACCCACAGCATGCCCACAGGAGCAGGAGCAGGCTGGCAGCACCCACGGTGCACTGATACCCTCTGTGGCACACTCGCAGCACGGGTGTCACACTGATAACACCTGTGCAAGCTCTGGTAACACACGGATCCGTCTCACAGCACCAGTTCCCACTCACCTTCTGCAAATGTGGACCACCCATACCATGCTCACACCACCTTTGCCAGCCTTCAGCAGGCTTGCACCACCCACACCCAGCTCACGGCACCCACAGCACCCATCCCACACTCCAGCACCCATCCCGCACTTATGGAGCACATGCCAGGCTCTCAGAGCCCATCCCAGGATTGCACCATCAGGCTCACAGCACCCATATCCTGTTCACAGCACCCCTGGCAGCCTCACAGTATTCACACCATGCTTGGCATTGCCCAGGGCAGTCTCACAGCACCCATCCCTCTCTCACAGCACCATCCAACTCCCACAGCACCCATTCCGTGCCCACAGCACCCATCCCACGCTCACAGCACCCATGCCAGGCTCACAGGACCTCTGCCAGGTGTGTGCCACCTGTACCGACAGCGTTTCTGCCATGCTTGTTACACCCATGGCAGCCTCACAGCATCCACAGCTGTCCCGTGACACCCTCACCAGTCCCACAATACCCACAAAAGTCCCACAGCCCCACGCCAGCCCCCTGGCACTGCCACACTCCTGTCCCTGCACCCCACTGCCACGCCAGGGTGGCTGCACCCAAAAGGTGTCACCCCACCAAGTGGCAGCAGGGTCATGGCTGGTGCCCCCCAGCCTCACCCCCTGGGCTGGGCTGGGTGACCTTCCTGCCACCCTGGACCTCTGCCAGGTGGCCCCAACTTGTGCAAGGGTGTCACGAGCTGGGGGAGCTCGGCCTCCCCCTCCCCTGGAGCAAAGGGCCAGCGATAGCGAGGGGCTGCCGGGGCAGGCGACGCCGGGGCCACCACCAGGAGAGCAAAGGTCCCCGAGGACACGGTGACAAGGGGCCCATAAAATTTATACAGCCCTGCTGCTGGAATTTTCCACCCAGGTCCCAGAGGGAATTGAGGGGTGCTGCAGCACCCATAGTTATGGGGTCCCTGGGTGGGGGGCACCCAGGGGGGTGGGGTCGGTCCCCTCCCTCCCCCCTTTGGGGGTCCCAGGGTGCTGGTGGCGGCGGGGGCACAGCTGAAAGGGCTCTTTGTTCGCTGGTCACGCGCTGGTGCCGGCGGTTGCGAAGCGACGGCCAGGCCAGGAGGGCCACGGTCATGGGCGTCCAGCCCTGGGGCACCCCAAGGGGGCTGTCCCACAGCCTCGGGGGGGGCCCGGCCCCCTGGGGGGACAGAAATCTCCGGGTGCCTGTCACCGTGGCACTGGGGCGATCCCTGTGTCCTCAGGGCACCCAGAGCCACTCTGCTGATGTGTTTTGGGGTGCCTGTGGCAGCAGGGTGCCCACGCCCATGGCACAGGGCACTTTAGGGTGCTTGGCACTGTCACCTGAGTGTCTGAGGCTACACATCCCCATGGCACCCGGGTACCCATCCCTGTGGGGTCTGGGCACCTCTGAGTATCTCTGCGTGTCCATCCCTGTGACACTGGGGTGTCTCTGGGTGCCCATCCCCATCACATCGGGCACATTTGGGTGCTCCCAGTACTATCTGCTGGTAATGGTGCAGCCCCTGCTGCCCCCTGACCTCTCCCCAACACAAGGACAAGGACACACTGGTGCCAGCTGTTAGTGGTTTATTTGGCTGGTGCCAGGCCAGGGGGTCGATGACGAGGACGCTGCCACGCTCAGTTGTCTCTCATGGTCTGGAAAGGAGAAGCTTCTAAGACAGAAGGACAGTACCCCAACACCCTGACACACCAAGACTCTAATAACCCAACACCCCAGTGCCCCATCACCTCAGCACTACGGCATCTCAACACCTCAAGAGCCTGTGCCCAGCACCCCAGCACCCCAGCACCATGATACCCCAGAACCCAGAGCCCTGGTACCCCGTTACCCTGGCACCCCAGCCTCAGCATCCCGAAGTCCTGGTGCACTTACACCATGTCATCCTGGCACCCCAGCCTTCTGGTACCCCCGTTCCCTAGGACCCAGTACCCTGACACCCCAATTCCCTGGCACCTCAGAACCCAGCACCCTGATACCCTGGTACCCCACCACCCCAGAGCTCTGGCAAACTTGACCTGGCAGCCCAGGAACCTGGCACCCCAGAGTCCTGCTACCATGGTACCCTCACACCCCGCCCCTGGACTCCCAACAATTCAGAGCCCTTTTTTCCTCAGCTCTGTGGCATCCAAGCACCCCAGTGCCATGGCACATCTGTGCCCTGGTACTTTGGCACCCCACTGCCCTGGCACTCCAGCATCCCAGAGCCCTTTTACCCTGCTACTGTGGCACTGGGACAGCTGGTACCCCAACACCATGGCACCCTGACAGCCCCATCCTCTGGTACCCCACTATCAGAGCACCCCAAGACTCTGCACCCAAACCATCTGGTATACCAGTATCATGGCACCCCAGCGGCCTGGCCCCTTTCCCCCCTGGTGCCCTGGTACCCCAGAACCCCAGAGCTCTGGTACCCCATTGCCGTGGCACCCAGCACTCTGACATGGCATCCCAATTCCCTGCCACCATGGTGCCCAAGTTTCCTGGCATCCTGACACCATGATATCCCAGTTCTCTGGCACCCTTGCACCCTGACATCCCAGTATCCCATTCCCTGGCAGCTCGGGAAGGCTTGCCAGCCTGTGTCCACCTCTGCAATCCAGTCCTCGAAGGCAGACACGCGGGTAAACACGGTGGGTTTCTTGGCAGCATTGCAGCCCAGGGCCGACACGAAGCTGGCGATGCCATGGACCTCCCAGGTCCCATCCTCAGCTTGGCAGTTCAGGGGGCCCCCGGAATCACCCTGGGGTGTGGAATGAGGCAGGGTCAGCACCACAGGGGGCCCAGGATGTGCCCCCCTCTGTCCCGGTGCGGTACCCACGTTGCATCCAGACTTCTCAGCGCCACCGGCACAGATCATGGTTTGGCGGATGGCCAGGGCCCCCCACCAGTCGGGCTGGGTGCAGTGCTCATAGTCCACCACGGGCAGCTCTGCCTCCTGCAGCCGGTCCGGCAGCGACCCTCCAGCTGTGGGATCAGACAAGCCCAGGCAGGGTCTGTCCATGGCCCTCCACCCCACATCCATCATCCATCATCCATCATCCATCATCCATCATCCATCATCCATCATCCATCATCCATCATCCATCATCCATCATCCATCATCCATCATCCATCCATCCCTTCCCTCCAACTCTCCTTTACCTTCCCATCCTGCCATCCCTTCCTCCACCGCCCCATACATCCCCCCAGCTATCAATCCCTCTGTCCACGCCCTATGTTCAACCAATTCTCAGTCATTCCTCATCTCCCCAAATATTCCCCATGCATCTCCCCATTTGTCTGTCCCCCATCCCTCCCTCCATCTTCCCACCCATTTCCTCATCCATCCCTCCAACCCCTCACCATCCCTCCATCCATCCCTCCACCCACCTTCCCAGCCATCCCTCCACATCCCCATCCATCTCCCCATTTCTCCATCCCCCATTTCTCCCTCCATCTTCCCATCCATTTCCCCGTATAT